CACTTAAGATAACCACTCTTAAGATATAGATTTAGGAATTTAAATAGCAAACACAACAAGTGTATTACTAAATGGAAAATGGAATTACAATATGAGTCTCACAAAATGGCCTAAGGCCGAAATAAATACACACACATAGGGGGGAAACTTCCCAGAAACATCCACTCACAAATCACAAGAATAATATCCATTTGTTTATGTTTTCTTAATGGAATGAAATCAGGGATTTGGTCTTTGATTTTCATGGCTGGTGGCTTGTCCTTTAGTGAGGAAAATCACAAGGAAATAAGTGATGATTCTTGGGAAATAACGGGGGACAAAGGGGATGGGTGATGGTTGGTTTTATTGGCCTTATATTGGGTCATTCATGGAAGGTATGTGGGGACTGATTTGGTGGGTGGAGTGTCAATAAACTCACAAAAGTCTTTTGTCCTTTTGTTATTGTTTATCCAGCCTAGGTGGGAGACACAAGGGGGACAATGGTTGGTCAATGTTGGGGAATAAAAGAGGGATTGTTTTTGGTCATTAAAAGGGGACAGGGCTGGGTATTATTTATGGGTATTTTGGAGTTATGGCTTTGGGTTACTGTGAGGGAAAACATGGGCAGGAAGTAGGGGCTGGAGGTGGGTCATGGTTTTGGCTCTTTGTGGGTGTTGTGTTGGGATTGTGAGGTTTATTTGGGCAGGGATTTAGAGGAAGGGAGAGAAGGTTTTATTTGTTTATTAAAAGGCTTAAAAGAAGGAAAATAACAACAAACAAAAGGTTGTATTTTACACTCTTATTTTTGGCCCTAGGCTAAAATAAGAGTAGGAAAAACTTTATTTTGGATATCAAAAGGAAATAAAATACTTTTGGATATTTGGGAGGGGTTGGGATTTTGGTGGAGCCATCCAGGGGTATAACATACTCCCCTTCTTCAAAAAAGTTTGTCCTCAAACTTTCGCACCACCGTGGAAGATTGATGGTTTCATAAAAGTATTCCCGGATCAAATGGGAAACTTAATGAACCACCAATATTGAAGTTCACTCCGGATTTAGTTGGCACCTCGTAGTGTAATTTCCGGAATATTATGGCCACCTTGGTTAGTACCTGCTTCACATGTCCTTCAAAGATGAAATAAGTTTCTTCTTCACCAATTGGACGATAATACTCTGTGGAATTTAATTCCTTAGAATATATAACATCCGGTTTAGTTTCCTCCACAACAACCTCGGAATCTGGTTCTTCAACGAAGACGTCATTTTCATCTTTGACTTGAAAATCAGAGACGTCTTCAACAATGACAAGCTGGTCGTTGAAGCTTTTCTTTTCCTCTTCAAAAATTATTTCTTCAATCAAAACTTCTGCACGTGAAGCTTCTTCATTAATCTTGGCCCATTCTTCATACGGTACGGCATGTTCATTTGGGCATATCCAGTAGATATGACCATAGCCACAACACTTGTAGCACCGTTGAGTTGGCCCTTGCAATATAACCTCATTGGCGTAGATGATCTCCAGATTTTTGAGGTATCTTTGGACATCCATATCTCAACAACCAGATATTGGAAAGATGTAATTCCAATTCCCGGAGTTAGATATTGAAGTCTTTAAAGACATATCAAAATTTCAGAGCCATTGAAAAATGTTTTCTACCTTTTTGGAGACAAACTCAGCAAGGTAGACAGAATCCGGCCAGGACTGTGTTATCAACTTCGGGAGGGCGTATCTCTCAAACCGTAACTCGGAATTGAGTGAAATCAGCGGCCAGACGTAGATAAAAGGTTAAACTACTGAACTGGAAAGTTTCACCTTCAAATACGTCGTGTAACTTCCTCCGTGCTCAATGCTATGGAACTGAAAGTCTCTGAAAAAAATCAGCAACCTTTGGGCAACGTTTGCAAAGCCGGTCCTCAAGGTGATCGTCGAGACTTAAGAAAGCCTCGAGGCTGAGCTCCGATACCAAATGTTATACCCGAGACCCGGGGTATAATCAAGTTGCTATTTGAAGATGGAATTATGGAATGGTGAAGAGGAAATGAGGGGGACGAAATATGGGGGTGGAACAAAGAGTTGTTTTTTTTGGGTTTTTGATGAAAGAAAAGAATAAGTTCAAGAAGAAGAAATGGTGAGAAATGAAATTGGCAGAGGTAAAGTGAAGGGATAAACCAAGATGGTGTTAAGAGATATAACACACTCTTATCTTAACTTGGGGTTTGAATCTAGAATTCANCGTTAAGCTTACGGGTGCTTAACAAACCGTTTACAACTCGAGAACTTGAATCCCACAAGCCTCGACACAACCGCTCGTAGATATGCTCTCTACAAGACTTCACAACCAAGACTTAAATCACATAAGCCTTGAACAACAAGAAGAACAATCTTCTTCAACCTCTCAGCAATAACTCTCACAAGAGTAGAAATGAGAAAAGATTAAGCTCTATGGATGACAAGAACACTCTCTTGAAAAACACTTAGTTTTCTCTCAAAATATATCAATTTGAGGAAGAAATGAATGGAGGATTATAACCTCAAGATTGGGGGAGTTTAGGAGTGCTTGTTCATTTCAAAAATGACCAAGGAAGAGTGTTTAAATAGGGGTTGAAGGAATATATCCGTTGGTCCAAGAAAAGAAGCTGGGATGAAAAAATGCAGCATAATAATCGATTAATGCAGTGTCAATAATCGATTAATGCAGTCTGCGCAGAGTTCCTTCAACGCGTAAATAATCGATTAGTGCAAAACTATTAATCGATTAGAATGGTCTGAGTAAACTAATCGATTAATGGGAAGAAAAAAAACGATTATATCAAAGAAGCTCAACACGAAGTAAAACTCAATTAATCGATTAATCAAAAGAATTTAATCGATTAATCAAAACAAAAACTGGGTTAATCGATTAATGTGAGAATATTAATCGAATAGATTCGAAATGATTCACAAACACAAAGGGCCCAAGCCAGTTGCGATTGAAAGTAAATTGGATGAATACTCGTTGTTTGAGACAACGGGAATCAGGCAGCAACGCTCCTAAAAAAAATCTCTTATTCAATGAATTTGAATAAGGGAGTAAAAATGAGTCCAAAAATTATTTTGTGTGTCAAACGATGTACACGAAAAATATTTGAGTAAAATATTTTTGCTTACCAAAAATATTTTATAATATTAAAATAAATATTATATTTTATAATATTAAAATAAATATTAGATAAATGTTTGACACACTTTTTGTAACTGACTCAATAAAAATATTTTGAACAGTTAAAAAGATTTTTCAACCGACTCAAAAATTAAATATAGTTTTTATTTTAACTCTCATAAAAACAATTTTGGAGAGAAGATATTTTTGTCATCCTTACAAAAATTCCTACAACTCAAATAAATAAAAGTCTTCGGAAATCTTCTACTCCTCCGAGTCCTCCGTTAGGCGCTCCGAATGCGTCTCGGACTTCAATAAAATCCTGTGCACCTTCTTGAATACTTCAAGGAATGGCACTTCAAGTCTTTGTGTTTGTCGTTGTAGCATTTTGATCTTGACTTGAATAAATTGTGTTTGTCAATTATCAAAACCTGTGAGTCAACACTTAACAACACAGAAAGGGTTGAACTCATGCATTCCAACAAGTAGGGGCTGGAGGTGGGTCATGGTTTTGGCTCTTTGTGGGTGTTGTGTTGGGATTGTGAGGTTTATTTGGGCAGGGATTTAGAGGAAGGGAGAGAAGGTTTTATTTGTTTATTAAAAGGCTTAAAAGAAGGAAAATAACAACAAACAAAAGGTTGTATTTTACACACTCTTATTTTTGGCCCTAGGCTAAAATAAGAGTAGGAAAAACTTTATTTTGGATATCAAAAGGAAATAAAATACTTTTGGATATTTGGGAGGGGTTGGGATTTTGGTGGNCATGGTTTTGGCTCTTTGTGGGTGTTGTGTTGGGATTGTGAGGTTTATTTGGGCAGGGATTTAGAGGAAGGGAGAGAAGGTTTTATTTGTTTATTAAAAGGCTTAAAAGAAGGAAAATAACAACAAACAAAAGGTTGTATTTTACACACTCTTATTTTTGGCCCTAGGCTAAAATAAGAGTAGGAAAAACTTTATTTTGGATATCAAAAGGAAATAAAATACTTTTGGATATTTGGGAGGGGTTGGGATTTTGGTGGAGCCATCCAGGGGTATAACAGATAAGTAGCCTACAACCTGTCCACATTGAATATAGATCATTACAGATCTTTGGAATTCTCCTGGATTATGGCAGAGTGATAAACTCTTAGAATTTTCCTTCATTTTCACAGAATATGCAGAAATGACTTTGAGAAGAAGATAAGTATAAGCAATTTATGATATTGGTGGTACACATTTTCATAGAATATGCATAAATGACTTTAAGAAGTGGATAAGTATAAGCAATATACTTTGATGTGATCATTTTCATAATTAGAACTCCCTCAGTCCCATAAAAGTGTTTCACATTTCCATTTCGTCTGTCCCAAAAAAAGGATGCACTCTCTATTTATGAAAATAATTGTAGCTCATATTTTTTCCGTCTCTTGTGCACCACTTCCAACCATACAATTCCACCTTTTCTTAATAAGTGTGCCGAATTCATTGTGGAACCTATATGTGGGACGGAGGGAGTAGTCTATTTGTCTAGAGTAGGTAATGGGACATTATGACCTCAGTAGATTGCCACTATTCTTTTAAATTTTATGTAATATGTCACCAGTATTTTGCCACTTATCTGTAAATTGTGAGATATGCATATAAACTGTTTCCTCTTTTGGTGCAGCGGATTTTCTTAATGAAATTTTTGTGTGATGAGGCACTGAATTCAGCCATTTTCCGTGAACACCTTGATCAAAGTGCCTCTGTATCTGCGGAACTGCAGCAGAAGTTACGGTCACTGAATTCTGAACTGAAGCTTTTGAAAGTAAGGGAAGAACTTTTGGTAGCAAACTTGGCTAAAGTGAAAAATATTGTTGGGCATGGTGGAGACTTTGGTTCTAATGCATTCACTTCCGGTGTTTGTGATGGTAAATTAAATGGGCAGGTGATTGAACGTGGTGCTAGGAGTACTACAATGTCTGGTTATTTTAGACAGCTGGATGATGGTTCACAAAGGAATGTGTTGGTGGAAAACAGTTACAGTTCAACAGACCATTTAGAGGCAACTTGTGCATTCTCTGTTAATGATCTAAAGTCTACCGATGCTGAAAATAATTTACAATATCAGCAAGCTGTCAAAGATAAGTGTCAATTGGATAATTCTTTTCAGACACAATGTAGCAAACACTTAGCCAGTTCACAAGATGGGCTGGTGCATGACAATTTGTGTAGTAATCTTGATTTTCAGGAGTCACCAGAGGGCAGTTCCAATACCTTGCCATGTACTGTCCAGGTCCTGCCTGAGCATAATTCCACTAATTCCTACAATTGTGTGAATCAGTCTTCTAATGCTGGTGATGTGAATTTTTCTCAAGCCTTAAACAATCAACTTGCATCTCTGAAAGGTGAGATTCATTCATTGCAGGAATCAATTGCCTTGAAAGAAGCCGAGCTTCAAAATGTGTCTGTTAGAAAGGAATTTTTGGGACGGGATTCTGAGGGCACACCTTACTGGATTCTTAGTACAGGTGATTCTTACCTGCAGATAGTAGCTAATTCAGGTGTGAGTTCAAGGCAGAGGATATCTCATAATTTTTGTCATTCAAGTTTGGAAAATTCAAGGCAGACAGGTAGTTATGGACTGGCATCTGGAGACAATTTTGGGATCCCAAATCTTTGTCAATGGACAATTTACCAATCTGACCAGGACATTAAAGAACTTATGGAATGGCTCAGAGATAATGATTCAAGAGAGAGAGAGTTAAAGGAGTCGATTTTCCAGCGCGTGGCCTGTAAATCCAAGCACTCCAACTTGATGGATGGGCTGCTCCAGAAGAAAAAAGAACTATGCACTTCAGACTCCTCGAAAGGCAGAAGATATTCTGAAACTGATTATCATATTACCAAAGCTATGACGGTTTTATCCAAGAAATATGGATCTTGCGAAGAAATGGATGGAACGGAAGTCTTGAAGAACCCTGGTTTTCTAGTGAAAGACCTCTGTAAGGGTGGAATATATAGGTGTCTATGCCTAGAACCATTATGGGTTTCTAGGCCTCATTGCTACTCATGTCATCTTACATTCTCCTCTGCTGAGGAGCTGGCACAGCATGCCAGTGACAAGTGCATGCCCAACTCACAAGTGTATGAGAGTAGCCAGGTAATAGAACATCCTTCCAAGTGCAAAAAAATGACAAAAAGTGAACCCTGTCAAAACAAGTCCTCTGACGGTAATGATATCAATCAAGCATCCATGAGCAGGAGGCTAGCTAATATTGAAGAACCTGGAATGAAGAAACACAGTAGCGAACCTGCTCCCATTGAACATCTTGACCAACCAGAATGTGCATTAAATTTTGAAGAGATCAAAGGGAAATTCATTGTTCAAAGTTCTCTCAAGGAGGAGGTGAAGAAAATAGGTCTGATTGGCTCGAATGGTGTTCCAACCTTTATTCAGTATAGGTCTCCCTATCTGGATTATCCTGACATAGGATTGTTATCCATGACAGAAGATGAGGTTGCCACAAAAGCTACTAATAAGGAGCAATCAAATGCTGGGCCATGTATTCCTCCCAAGACCCACGTCATAGATAATCTACCAGGCCATGCTGAAAATGGCTTATTTGATGATGAGCTGGAACTTGGGAATGCAAGATCGACACTGGCGAGTGAAAGACAATGTTATTCTGCCAATGTTGATAACCAAGTACCAGGAATAAATAAGAGCTTAACTGTTCGTGAGTCCTCTGTAAGACCATTGGTAGGCAGGGATCTTGAGATTCTGAGGCATCTAAAGATCAACTTGATTGACATGGATGCTTGTCTACCCCAAGAAGCTCTGAGAGCATCAAGATCAGACTCAGACAGAAGATGTATTTGGCGCACATTTGTAAAATCTGTGGCTACAGTTTATGAGGTTAGTTTCCCTTTCCTATTTGATTAACTCTTTTAAGCATAAACTACAAGTCTTTCAACTGAAGTGAGCTCAGCGTTGAATGGAAAGTAAACACATAATAGTTACCCTTGTGAACTTATATAGTTTTGATAATCCCTCAAATATTGGTCCTTAGTTGGTCTGGCACACTAGCTCTTTCTGGTGTCTTTTGTTATACAAAGATTTCACTTGAGATATGTCAACTGTTAGTTCTAAATACTCTTAAATTTTATTGGATGACTTTTTCTCATTTTCTAACAAAACAAACTATGTCACAAATGACAAATTTAAATTTATTTGGAAAAAATGTTGTATTCTCACACTTCCATAAGCTCTATATAAATGCCTGAGTCTTCAAGATTCATTTTACACAATCCACTGACGCTATTCTTTTAACAATTGCAAGTGTTATAGGTTGACAAAATCATCCCCTTAAATTTCTTTATTTTCATTTTTTCTGTGGTGAAGCAAGATTTGTTCAAAATATCCTCAAGCTTTCTATTTACTCCGTAATATTTATAGTTGAACTGGAAATCTGAAAATGCAAACAACTTTTGTTGTTTGTTGACGTATAAAATGGAAAATATTTAGGAGCACTACGGTTCTCCTTGCTCACTAATTATTAGCATGTCACGCTTCCATAAGCTATATATAAATGCCAAGTCTTCAAGATTCATTTACACAATCCACTGACTCTATACTCTAACAATTGTAAGTGTTATAGGTTGGCAAAATCTTTCCCTTATTTTTTTTACATTTTTCCCATGGTGAAACCAGATTTGTACAAATATCTTCAAGCTTTATATTTGATATTTATATTTGAACTGGAATTCTGAAAATGCAAACAGCTTTTGTTGTTTGTTGACGTATAAAATGGAAAATATCTAGGAGCACCCCGGTGCTCCAACATTTTATGCTTGTATTCCTCTTAGTCTACACTGACTAACTAGAATGTTATGCTCACTACATGGATGTAGATGGGGCTAGCACCAGGTTCTTAATAATTTCTCTATAAAACACTACGTTTTGGCTCCCTCTTATTTTTTCTTTCCATGGTTATAGTATGATAAGCTATACGTACCCTTTTGGGTGTTTTATGTTACATTAATAAGCATTTAAGATATGAGTTGCTTCATTTCTTCAGATGGTTCAAGCGACGATCATACTAGAGGACACAATAAAGGCCGAGTACTTGAGGAATGATTGGTGGTACTGGTCATCGCCTTCAGCTGCTTGCAAAATATCTACCCTGTCTGCCCTTGCTCTCCGCTTATATGCCCTTGATTCAGCCATCTTGTATGAGAAACACCTAGCTGATGAAGAGGGCATAAAGCCAGAATGTAGATCAGCGAAAGCAGCACCTCGGAGTTCCAAATCAAGTAGTCCAATTCAAAAGCTGCTTGATTCAGATCCCGCTGAGAATCCAAAACCAAAAACCAGATCCAGCAAGAGAAGAAAAGACTCTGGTGGTTGAAACGATACGCCCCTTTTCTGAACCAAAGTGGATTGATCTTGTGCCTGCCCTGATGACATGGACGTGCCACTTTGATTTTAATGTTGGCCACCCTGATTCAAGGAGTTGACGCCTCTGGCACATTCCAGTATTTTCATATACATGGATCTGCTTTTTGCCACCAGTTTTCCTTCCATATACAAATTTAAGGCTTTTGCATGCATGTTACTTGAGAGTGGTACCCTGCATTTTCCTCGCCGTCATTTTTAAGCGGTGTGAAAAAGTTCTATACAAAATGGTGACCTAAGGATATCCAGAAACCTGTCATTGGGTGGAGTAGCAGAAGGTCCGGTGCTCATAATTTCAAATGGACGATATTTGTGCCCTTGAAAAAAATATAAAAGGTCAGTGACTAAGGTAAAACCGTATCTATATGTACAAGCAAAGGTTTAGCAGTTGTATGTTTGTAGGATTGTAGCCAATCATATGTATAGAAATTACAGATAATGTCTCAAGCTATGCCTCCTCCCCCTGCTGAACAATGTAAAATTAGGTTGTGCCATTGTATTTTCTCTAAACAAGCCTGTAATCAAGAACTGCCTTTCTTCAAAAGGGTTTTCTGTTTGGTTCTTTTATGGTGTGCTTCCATTTTCGATTTGACTCATTTTGGATCAACTTGTAGAAACCCGATAGTCTGGTCGGGCCTCAGAAACCAGGAACATGTTCGGTTTGGAAGTAGGAAAACAGAGTTGTTTTGTTACTGGGAATCAAACTTGAAAGATCTTGGCTGGACCAATATCACCTTAGAGTGCTGAGAGACAAACAAGGTAAAACTGTTATTGGGTTCATTGGTCAAATTTGATTATTACTCTATTATCATTAGGATTGTGTAGTCCTTGTAGAGAGTATTGAGTTCAGTGAGTGAGTGCTTTTGATAGTTACTTTTGGATTATAGTTTTTCGATGTCTGTATGGTGTTTTGTGAAGTAAATTCTATTTGATCTGTAATGAATGACATTGAGTTGTTTTTTTTGCACAAAGCACTAGTTTGTATTAACAACTAATGTGAAACACCACGAAAGGGAAACATCCAACACGTGCTCTCTTGGCGTTAGTTCGTGTGGTTGAGAGGTGAGTGCCGAAGGAGGTAAATTTGGCTTCGACTCACACAATGACGATAAAGAATGACTATGCTCTGCATTAGATTCTTGAGCGTACCAAAGGACATGTTTCACTTCCTATAAATCATATTGAGATTATAGTTTTGTTTATCTTTTCCAAGCCTATTGTGGGTCGGTACTCGGGGAACCCAACTAAGGCTCCGTTCCGTTCAACCTATTTTTTCTAATCTGATCTGATTTTTTGTAGTTCTGATCTGATCTGATTGGATCTGATAATATGATTGAATATGATCTAATCTAATTGAATCTGATCCGATATGATCTAATCTGATTAATTATGATTTGATTTAAAATTCAAATCAATAATTTGGTCTAACTTTATAATACTCCCTCCGTCCCCCATAGATCTTCCCATTAACCCTTTTTATTTGTTCCACATAGATCTTCTCATTACCTTTTTTAACATTTAAAATACCACAACTACCCCCACTTACTTTATTTATTACACCTTTTCCACCTTATTTAATACACCCCACCCATTTTCATTAAGGGTATTTTGGTAAACTTTCACCTTTTTTCAACTCTCCTTAAAAACCGCAAAAAATCAAAACGAGAAGATCTTAGCGGGACGGAGGGAGTAACTTTTAAAAATTGTAATGATAATTCATATTATAATATCATCAATATTTTTTATTTTATGATTGTTTTTTTAATGAAATAAAATTAGTAAATTCATATATTAGAATAAGCATTCATATTATAATGTAATAATATTTTTTATTTTATGATCATTTTTTATAAACTACGAATATTGATTAAATATTTTAATAATTACTCCTTCGTCCCAGTGTATTCGTCCAGTTTGACTTTTTCGAGTCAAATTGGACAAACTTTGAGCTTCAATTAAATAAAAATCATAATATATTTTAACATAAAAATGACTTTATTGCATTTATCATATTGAGAACTTTCAAAATTGTATTTCCTTATGCTAATATTTAATATAAATTGAGAGTAATTGAAGTTCAAAGTTTGTCCAGTTTGATTCGAAAAAGTCAAACTGGACAAATACACTGGGATGAAGGTAGTAGTTCATATATACATTTGAATAAATTTTTAATTCATATATACATTAAAAAGTAATTAAATTTAGATAATCAATATAGAGAAGAGATAGTATTTTTATTAAAATATCTCATTCTTATAAAATATTAATGTTAAGCAAAGAAATAATATATTTTTCTGCATCTTGTATAATAATCTATTACATGCTAGATGTGGTAGACAAAAAAATGTTGTATGTTATAAATAATACATTCCATAAAATTGTTACACACTAATATTATAAAACATTGATGAAAATGAGGAATAATGTACTTTGAAATTATAATTGCACAAATAAAATATCATTTTATTTTTCTCTACATAAATTATAATCGTACAAAAGTCTCATTTTCTTTTTTCTTATATTTTTTCAAGAAAAAATAAATTTATTTTTTGAAAGAATCGTATCAAGTTAACAAGTAAAAAAAATGGAATTTAAAATAACAACAACAATAAGAATAATGATTATTATGATGATGATGATGATGATGATGATGATGATGATGATGATCATAATAATAATAATAATAATAATAATAATAATAATAATAGTAATAGTAATAATAATAATAATTCTTGATTGGATCTCATCAGATGTGATCTGATCTAATTAGATCTGATCTGATTTTAATAAGAATAAGAAAAAATCAGTAAAAATAAGTTAAACGGAACAGGGCCGGAAAAGGGCCCTAAGGTCCTGTTCCGTTCAGATCATATCAGACCAGACCAGATCAATTCAAATGAGATCAGATCACATGAAATCTATTCAGATTAGATCAGATCACATCCAATCAGATCAGATCCAATCAGATTAGACGAGATCAGATCAGATCCAATAAAGAATTATTTTGATTATTATTTTTATTGTTGTTGTTGTTATTAATATTATTATTGTTATTGTTATTGTTATTTTAAATTTCATACTTTTTACTTGTTTCACTTGATACGATTCTTTCAAAAAATAAATTTAATTTCTCTTGAAAATATATAAGAAGTAAGAAAAAGAAACTTTTGTGCGATTATAATTTATTTAGAGAAAAATAAAATGATATGAAGCACAAATTTGTTTCATTAAAATGAAAAAGAATAAACTTTAGAAACAAGTTAAATAGAAATATAAGATGCAGAAAAATATATTATTTCTTTGCTTAACATTAATATTTTATAAGGATGAGATATTTTAATAAAAATACTATCTCTTCTCTATATTGATTATCTAAATTTAATTACTTTTTAATGTATATATGAATTAAAAATTTATTCTAATGTATGTATGAACTAATCATTAAAATATTAAATCAATATTCTTATTACATAAAAAATCATAAAATAAAAAATATTATTACATTATAAAATGAATGATTATTCTAATATATGAATTAACTAATTTTATTTCATTAAAAAATAATCATAAAATAAAAAAAATATTGATTATATTATAATATGAATTATTATTATAATTTTCAAAAGTTTTTATAAAGTGAGATCAAATTATTGATTTGCTTTTTAATCAAATCATAAAAAATCTGATCCGATCACATTCAATCAAATTAAATCAGATCAGATTCAATCAGATCAGACCAGATCATTTCCAATCAGATCAGATCATATCCAATCAGATGAGATCAAATCAAATCCAATCAGATCAAAACTACAAAAAAATCGTATCAGATTAGAAAAAATATGTTGAACGGAACAGAGCCTAATTGGGGTTTGAGAAAATAAGGGGTTCTTGAGTTGCCTTTAGTCTCACAAGATTATGGTTGTAAACGGATAATATTCGCAACAGATATGACATATCTGAATCCGATTTAATTTTGAGATATCTGAATTCGTATCCGATGGATATTTTGACTTCTATCTGAATCCGTAACCAATGGGCAATTCTTGATTTTGGATTATCCAAATTTGATTACATATCTGAAATTGACAAAATATCGAAATCCGACCGAATATCAATGTGTTCAACTTCGGAAATAAAAACGTAAGATGAGGGCAGAGGGATCCGAACTCAACAACTCCAACCATAAAATTCAAAGTTAGCCATCTAGGGTGAGTCAAGTGCTAGCTATTTATGAGTGGTGAGCTTTGCGTCATCTAACCGTAGCATGTCATTTTACCTTAAGGTGTCATCTCACTGAAATCAATCCCTATATATATATATATATATATATATATATATATATATATATATATATATATATATATATATATATATATATATATATATATATATATATATACACTCCAGTCAGATGACACATTACATGGAGATGACATGCTAAGGTCAGATGAAGCAAAGCNATATATATATATATATATATATATATATATAGACTCCATTGAGATGACATGCTTCGGTCAGATGACGCAAAGCTCACCACTGGTCACTGCAAAGCCAATTACAAAGCTCACAAAATTGTTAGGCAAAGCTCACCATATTTTTTCAACACTTTAAATTTTTTTTGAAAAAAAAAATCAAAGGAAGGGGTGTTGACTAGACTTTGACCATTGACCGTTGACAATCACCGGTCACCGCCTGCCACCGCCGGCCGACCACCATCGCCACCGACCTCAGCCGCCGGCCGACCACCTCCGCCGCCGGCCGCCGCCGGCCGCCGGCCGCCGGCCGCCAACCACTGCCGCCGCCCGCCGCCGCCCACTGCTGTTGCTGACCGGTGGTTGACCGGTGGTTGACCGGTGTTGCTATTTTATTTTTAATTATTTTTTTAATTTTCAAAATTTAAAAAAAGTGAGTTTTGGTGTTCAAAGTGGTGAGCTTTGTTTTATTTCCAGGTGAGCTTTACATTGGTCATTGGTGGGCTTTGCAGTGAAATGTTGTGAGTTTGCGTCATCTCACCGAAGTATGTCATCTCATTGTAAGGTGTAATCTCGCTGGAGTCAATCACACACACACACACACACAATATATATATATATATATATATATATATATATATATATATATATATATATATATATATATATGCCGGTTCTCGTGAGAATGCACCTTGTGGAGAGAAATGAGAATAAAATCTAGCCGTCGGATCTGATGCATCGTGCGGCTCAGATTGCATCCTGTGCTCAAATTTTGAGATAGTGCATTTTCGAAGGTTTATGGTGCATTTCGACGTGATGCATTTTCGCACCATTTTGGTGCATCTAATTTTGATGAAATCTTGACCCTTAGATCTCACAATCTAAAGCACCAGATTCATTCTCATTTCTCTCCTAAGATTGCATTCTCACCAGACCAAAATCTATATATATACATATATATATACACACACACACACACACACATATACTCACTGCCGATCGCCGGTAGCCGCCGCTGCTCCTCCGCCGTTTGCCAACAGTCGCCGTCGGCCGCTGCTGCTCCGCCGCCTGTCACCTCCGTTTACCGGTGGTTGACCGGTATTGCTATTTTATTTTTAATTAATTTTTTTGATTTAAAATAATTTAAAAAAAGGTGAGCCTTTGTGTTCAAAGTAGTGAGCTTTGCTTTATTTAAAACGGGTTATTCTCGTTTAAATAGATACAGATGGAGACGGTAATTGGATTTTTAGTTATCCATTAACAGCCCTACACTAAATGTACCTAGAGTAATTAGAAATCATCCTAAATAGGGCTAAAACATAGAGAAAAGTACCAAAATAGGACTTTCATGTTTTTTTTCCCGGAATATGACTATGCATTGTGGTACTGTGACTTTGCATTGTGGTAATGTGACAATGTACATGTGCAAATTACTATACTTTTTTGGTAATGTATATGACCATGTTTGGTAATGTAAGTCCTATTTCGAAAATAAAAACATGGAAGTCCTATTTTGGTATATTTTCAATGTTTTAGTCCTACTTTGGTCTTTCTCCCTAGAGTAATAAAGTTGTAAACGAATCAAATGGAACCAAATACCAAAGTATTCATATTCGTATTTTACTACTACCTCTGTCCCATTTTATAACGTCTGTTTCGGTTTACGATGTTTGACTGAAATTATTTTCAAACCATTTTATATGACAAATGGTATAGAATTAAAAATAAAAATTACATATTAAAAAACTACATCAAAAGATCTACAAAACTAGTAGTGACAATAATATTTTATTTTATCAAATTGCTAACGAAAATAGAGAAAGAAAGTGAATGAAGTTTGACCATGTGAATAATAAACAAACATTATAATTTGGGACGGAGGGAGTAGTTTTTCCAAATACGAACTCAAATTTAAATATGAAACGAATTCTAAAAGAAATTTGTTTTCATATTTGATGGCTAATCGATTAGTTATTTGAACGAATAATCAAATAATGATAATTTAAATGATGTGTCGAGATCGATTTTAATTTCTTTAACTTAACTTTTATTTTTTACTGTATCTAAAGTATCATTAATGCACGTGATTACACTTCACAATGCATAGCTATTGAAAACGGTATACTTTAGATTTTTTGTGTTACATTAATTTGATTAAATTTTAGTAATTTAGCTTGATACGGATGTGCTAACTTACAATGAAATACTCCCTCCATCCTATAATGTTCTTCCCGATTCTGTTTACGAAGTTTGACCGACTTTATTTTTAATTCAATTGATTTGATTGTAGGTGTAAAATTAAAAAATAAAAGTTATATATTTAAAAACTACATCAAAAGTTCTACAAAACAAGTGGTAACAAGACTATATTATTTTATCAAATACCTAATAAAAATAGGTAAAGAAAGTGATTAAAGTTTGACCGTGTGAATAGTAAGTGGGAAGAACATTTCAGGACGGGAGGAATACTTTATTACTGAACAAGTACACATACAAAAATTTCAAAGAAAACTAAGTAATGTACTATTTCTAGTTTAAAAAATTAGAGATCGAAAACACACTATATAAATCATCAATATTAAACAATGAATTCGTACAAAAATAAGCTACTATTGTCTAGAGCTATGATACAAAATCATAGTTTCAAAAATGAGTTGGTTACATATAATATTTTCATATTTAAAAGAAATTAAATTACATAGTAGAATATATCTATGTACTTAGATTAGTTTGTGTAGTTAAATTTGAATATATTTGTTAATATACTGAATCGAATATTACATATTTGGATTCGTTTTACTTCCCAATACTAAAAAGTATTTACATTCTTATTAGTATAATATGAATTGTGGTATTCAAATATGAATATGGAATCGAACCAAAATTATTTACTTCGTTTACAACCCTAAATGTAACTGCCAATCCAAGGTTAAAAAATATGGAAGAGGGGGACCAAACCAGAACTCTTCCAAAGAAAAGCGAAAAGTCCAAAAGCCATGAACACCCCACTCTAAATACTAAACACAGCCCCTTATCCAAAGTCTAAATCTTACCCCACCCAAATTCTAAAACCCAACAAAACTCTAACCAAACTAATTTAAATAAACAGCAACATGAGAAGTCATGTGTTCGATCCCTGGTGGAGATAATAACTTTACGGGCTTCAATACACTAAGAATGTACAGATACTACCTTGTAATAGAGTTATTAGTGTTAAAAAAAACAGCAACATCACCCCTCGCCATCCTGTAACCATCATAGCCATATCTTTCTCTACAAATCAATGGCATATACTCCTTAGTCTAACTCTAAGGGGCAACATCTAGCATCATTCTTATACTCCAGTTACTTACTCAAACCCCCAATCAAATATCAACCAAAGCCAAAGTCAAAGCAGCAAATAGACCAACAAGACTAGATGGTAATCATTTTATTCTGTTTGGCATACCAACTTCTACTTTTCTTACCATCATTTCGTACATAGAACACCATTTCGGAGAAGCAAATATATGGTGCTTCTGTTTTCCGCTTTTGTGAAAATCACTTTACCCACAAGTTAATCACTCCCAAACACCCTTTATATATGCCAAAATCTAAAACCAGCTTCTATAGTTCAGGAGAACCAGTTGTTACTACAACAATAAGGCAGTAAGACATGCCTTATTGTTACTTCAACCATAGCTGCATATTCCTAAAAAGAAACCAAATAGAACCAATCAAACTTCAACGAGGATGATTACTCATTCGTTTTCTTTTTCTTGCCCTCGGCATTTTTCCCTCTCCCTGTGCTCTGATGGGGTGCTTTTAGCTCCCCCCCCATTGTTTAACGGAATGAGCGGTATATTCCCCTGTGCAGCCAAGTTTTCAGAAGAGCCATCACAACCTTCTTTGCCCTTGGAGGAACTCAGTGCAGACGACCTTCCTTCGTCAACAACACCAGATTCTGGCAAAATACCAGAGCCTTCCCATAGAGGTGCTGCTTTAGATGAGAATGGCTTTGAATTGAAGGGCTGAACACTTGATTCCGAAACTATCTCGGATTCTGGCCCACCGTTTTGGTCAGAAACTGAATCACTACTGCTAGCCTTTCCTCCGGCACCCCTTTTTGTGGCTTCCATTCGCGGGGAGATCCCATCTACAAAATGAAGCTCAAGATTATCAATAATGTCAATCAGGCCTATGTTGACATCCCTCTGAAGCAAAGATTCTGAGATGGATATGGAATTTCTCATGGAAACCCTCTCAACGGAGCAGATCCACCCTTCGTCAGGGCCGGGAATCGGGTCCTCTGATAATCCCCTGAGACTGTGGACAGAGAATTGAAGATCTGCAAGAAACAATTGGAAACCAATCACTACGATTTCATTACCTTTTTTAATACTTAAAATACCACAACTACCCCCACTTACTTTATTTATTACATCTCACCTACCTCATTTAATACACTCCACCCATTTTCATTAAGGGTATTATGGTAAACTTTCACCTTTTTTCAACTCTCCTAAAAAACCGCAAAAAGTCAAAACGAGAAGATCTTAGGGGGACGGAGGGAGTATTTAAATTTAAGTACCTATGGAAGCGGGGGTATTGACTCTTAATGCACTCAAAAAAATGTATTCCTTCCGTTCTTAAGTATTTCTCCATTTTTGACTTTTTTCGATTAAATTTGTTAGATTTTAACTTCAAATTAAGTAAAAATGATATTAAATCTTGATACAAAAAATAATTTTTTTGAATTAATTGTATCAAATATTTTTAAAATATTATTTTATGTAATTAATATACAATATATATTTTATTTAATTATAGGTCAAACGTTAAAAATAGTTGATCGAACAAAAGTTAAAACTGAACAAATATTCAGGAACGGATGTAGCATTTTTTAGATATAATTTTGTATCTAAAATTATTTTAAAATGATTAAGATTTACAAAGAAAAAGCACACTTTTTTGGTGATGGAGTGAATGTACAATGTGGCATAATATCCGGGTGAGAAAAAATCTGGCACAAAAGTTTTCTGGTTATGTACCAAAAATTTGTAATTTGTACTTCATTTGTACACTAAAAGTATGCACTAACATTTTGATGATTCACACTGACACACTTTGTTGGTGCGTTAACAAAAAATTACACTGACACAAAGTGTGAGTGCGTTAACAAACGTTAGTATTACACTAACACAAAATGTTGCTGCACTCCTGTGGTGTACAAAATGGGATACAAATCCTTGAGGCACAAATAGCTTTATCCATTTTTTAACCAATGTTGTCTCTAGGCCTACCCATATTGGTTGAGCAAAAAGTGTCAAAAGGGATGAATAGAATTTGATTCTTGACTATTGAATTTGAAGGAAGATATGACTTCTGTGAATATCAAATACAAGTTTCACCCTTTGTTAATTAGTCTGTGGATAAAACTTAATTCAACTCTTCTTAGGTGACTATCTAATATATTCTGAAGGGTGCCATCGGGGATGGACTCATTCGTTTTTTATCAATGTTTACCTAGTTTAAGAGATTTTATGAGTTACTCTCTCCGTTCGAAATTAAACTAGTTATTTACTATTAATATGAACAAACCACATTCACTTAATTGACCTATTTTTATTCCTCATTTGATAAAATGGTTATAATCTTGTCACCTCTTATTTTGAAAGTTTTTTTATATAGTTTTTAAATATATAAATTTTACTACCTTCATCTCAATTTATATTTTTTAAATCCACCAATTCTCACATAAAGTTGAATTGAAACTAAATTTGGTTAAACAATGTAAAAACCGAAATAGCAATTTAGTTTGGAACGGAATGAATAGTACTACTAGTACAAGTATAATATTTGTATTTTAAGTCATTAGAATCATACTTCAGATTTTTACCTCATACGGATCCCCGTTCAATTCGTATCTTATATATATGCAACTAGTTCCAATTATTAAGGTAATCGATCATTATCTATAAAAAAGAAACATTTTTAATGGGTTTTTCCTCCGATTCTTAATTGTAGAATGAAATGTTTTTAAATGAGTTATTCCACTTTCAAACCTAAAATAAGATTGATAGTGCACTTAACTTAACCCTCCTTTGGACCCAAATATGTTCTTCCACATATAATCTACTGATTAGGAAATAATTTTCAAATATAAATAATCACAAACATAATAGCTTAAAATTGAAAACTATATATAAAAAACCGCATAACTACTTGTAGAACTGACTCCCACATTGAATGACACTAAAATAAAGTAAAAATCCGTTTCGTACACGAAATTGGAAATTGAAATTCTATGGAATTGATGTAGATGCATTTGAATTTTCCAATTTCAATTCATTTCTGACACTATCAATTCCAAATCCACATTTTTTGTTACCAAACAGCATATTTGGAATTGTTATCCTCAATTCTAATTCTAGAGTTTGAATTATGTGTACCAAACGGAGCCTAATTGTAGTGTAACTTTGAGCTAAGCAGTATTTAATTGAACTAAACAGCATTGAAATGAAGTCCAACTAAGCAGTTCCTTAGTGCGACTCAAGCTGAATTTGGTACCTTTAGAAACACCCAAATGCACATCTGCTCATAGTAAATTGCAATATGAATACACTTCCATAATCTCAAGGCATCCACTAAATCAAAATGGCACGTTAAATATTGTACAATACTTCAGCTTCAAATAAATAATGTACTAAATCAAATGACGCGCTAAACTCCTCTTCTCACTTTCTATGACGTTTTGGACGATAAGTGTATTACGGGTCTAATTGTAAGACATCAGTACAAAATAATAAGGTCTGAAATTGAATCAATTTTTCCATATATGGATAGCAATACTAGCACTAGCATTTACAACTAGATTGTCCTAAAAATTAAACTTTTCATAGGTCGAAATAGTAAAGTGTTGCTTGGGTGTTGAGCAATGGCCTTGTCTGCAGCTATACAACTAAAAGTAAGCATATGCATATATATTGATGACTATTAGAGCCTCACATTTCAGATGCATTTACCTTGGGAATTTGAGAGCCAGGGCAGACAGACCAGTTCTGTGCAGCTTTTGGTCTAAAAAACCATCCATCCTATCAGAAGCTATCTCCAATTTTCATGGGATCCCTGGCATTAATGTATGGCCATCCGTGGCGATGAACAACATTTTGATTAGCTACCAGTCATCTATCGGTGTTAAAACCTGTTAGCAGATGGGAAATGCTTACGATCCATGAGATGTTAGATGATCACTAGCAATTTCAAGTCCTCAATTCCTTGGCAGCTTTTTTGAATTCCTCTGCGAGTATGCTTTTGAGTCTTTGCCTCAAGTTAGAAGCTTCTTGAGGCTTAAACCACTTCTTTCCAAACTGGAAAAAAGTAATAATGGTAAAAAATAAATGTGGGAAAGGCAAAACGGAAAATTAGGAAAAGCATGGAACTGATAAGGATAGTCATAGCACATATGGCTTCTAAATGGACTTGTTCATTTGTGCAAAAGAGGACAAAAAGAGTACCATTCCTAGATCCTTCCTTTTCAGTCTTCCAGGAACTTCATCAATGAAGCGTTCAATAAAGAAAAGTACGAAAGGGCCACAGTCATAATCATTCTTTTGCTGAGGAACCTATCATCACAGAAAATTGTGTAGAAGAGAAAAGAAGGATGTTTTCCATAATTCTTAACGATACCACACAATATTAATCACCTAGATCATAAACAGTAGAATTCGTAAATGAGTACTCTGGGCAGGTTTTTGGTAGAGAAGAAATGACAAATGTAACATCCAAATCCAGCTGTGGAGAATATCTTACCTCAATTTCTTTTTCCTCTATTATATCAGGGAGTTCATCCCATATGTTATCTGGAATTTGTAAATGTAGTTCAGATTTTGAGAATTTCCATTCTTCTACCAAAAATCTGCAAGAAAAATTAAACCAACTCAAGCAAAACCTTTAACAGAACTGTCGTATGGGCATCAAAATGAAATCCATTATAGGAATTTCATTTGGTAAATTGAGTAACTATATATATCTCGGTCAACATAGATAGAAAAACATCATAGGATTAAAATATACTCCCACCGTCCCACAATGAATTACACTCTTCACTATTCAGAAGTCACGGGAACTTTTGTTTATTTGTGTGTTTTTATTGTTTATTTGATAAAATAAAATATTCTAGTCACCTCTTGTTTTGTAGAACTTTTGATATATTTTTTAAATATGCAAGTTTTATTTTTTATTTCTATACCAATTTTTAAAAGAAATGAATTGAAGAAACTTGAAATTTTACTTCGCTTTGGGTAAAGTGTAATTCATTTAGGGATGAAGGGAGTATCAGAAGTTTTAATACTTGTTACAAAATCACGTCTAGAGTGAAAGACTGTTTCTTTGCTCAAGGATTTCAAATCTCTCATGATCTAAGATCAAGACCACTAATGAGTTAGGTCCCTAATGAATCAATCAATGCACTAATGAGGGACTTAGGTCATCAGTGTACTAGATCCTTTTCAGATCAGAAGTTGCTCAGATCATGATGTAATAATGATCCGATGCTTAAATTTCAGGGGGCGGGGGAGTGGGGCACAAGATTTTACAATTTATGTTTCAGTGTTTAAAACTGTAACAAAATCTCAGCAACCATGCTGAACGCTAAACTATAAACCAACTTGAACCTTCATGACTCCAACAAAAGTAGATTAGAAAAATGGTAAGTAGTATGCAACTTCAATTGAAGCAACTCTCCACCCCCCCCCCCCAAANGGTTCATTTTGCAATAACACTGGCAACATTGTGTTCCTGCACATACATGAATTATGCAGGCATGTAGAACACTTTAAGAACTAGAGCATTGATTAACCAAAACTGTGACTATTATATTGTGAAATGATGCATCCATGTGATACAATAGTGCATTAGTTAACTAAAACTATATTGAAGAAACACAAGAGATATTGACACGAAGGGCATGCCAGAATATAGTTATTCCTGTTTACACTTGCATACAATTCTAATATAGGAAGCAGAAATGGTTCAAAACACACATTTCAAACCCAAGGTACCTGCATAGTGCCGTGCGTTTGCTTGGAATACAAAAAAAATCAAAACTGTTTTTCAAACAACCCCCCTACCTTTTGGTGTTCTTTAGGATTGGCTTGCTACTGTGCAACATTAGTGAATCTAAATGAAGTACAATAGGTCCCGATTCATCCTCCTTATCTGGTATGCAGATAATCACCAAACTCCAGTGTAGGCTGAAAAGGTAACATTAACCAACAACATGAAGATAAAAAACAAACCTGGAAAAGTAGGAAAGCAAAAGGTTGTAGATGAAGAATTGAACAAAAGACTCGGGGCCCCTATGCTTTGGCAATGAGTTCGAGCAGTGAAGTTAAAAGCTAACCACAGCTGTGAAATTGGCAGCTATATCTTTAAGATGAAAACGATTGTAAGTTGGTTGTTATTTGAAGTGTAGCGGTGAAAAAATAACCGCAAATGACAATCAAGGTCACTTTTCTTGTAATTGCTTTAGCTAAAATAATAAATTATGCTGTTATCATTATTTATTTTTTGCTGAGTTTTTTTAATTAGCTTATGACAACTGAGTTTTTTATCACAAAATGTGACACCAATGAAAGAAATAACACAAAATATTTTATGGAAGAATCAATTTTTAAGTAAATAAATACATTATCCGAGAAATTGCAAGTCGTCTAAGAATTGCAGAAAACCTCATAACATATTGGTCAGTGGAATTATTAAATTCCTTTTAATAACATTAGGAAATGCGACAATGGGCCTAATGAAAATAATCTATCTATCTTTTATAAAGGTAGGGAAGTGCACATCTTAACCTCCCCCCCCCAAAGACCTCGATGGAATTGAGGTTAATGGTTACACTGAGTTTTGTTGTTATAGTTGTGGATAATATCTTCAGTTAATCTGAGCCTCAACTTTATTAAATCTTTCCCTCACTGAAACTATAGCATTAGACTACTTTTTCCTTCCGCTTAAAACTAAGACTTCTCATTTTTTTCCAATTTACCGCCAAATTCTCACACCTTATATAAGGCAATAACTGATCCACATATTACAAATTTCAACAAAACAACAATAACAAAACTTCGGCAAATATTTGGGGAAAAACTCACCTTTCATGAATTGGTAAAAATATGTATGCTTTCTCAAATAGATTTATTCCCTTCCACCATCTTCTTAACTTTTCAAAGGATGATTCCCTGTCATTCTGATGTGAACAAGTACAGTAGCATTATTATTCATACATAAATTAAGAGCACATAAAGGCTGCATGTACATAGAAATTCCTACATGCACACACGTGACACATATGCATGTATCGATGAATGTTTACATGTCTGGATGAACTCTGATTTTTACTTCTGATTTTATTTACAATGGCAGGTTGCTTTCGTTTGTTTATGCTGGACTTCAATATTTTTGTTAACTAAACTCTGCATCTATCCTCAGATCCCACTTTTGTGGGATTCTACTGGGTTGTTGTAAACTCTGCATCTAGATTAAGAGCAGTCTACATTTTTTATGAGTAAAAGCTGTCTACTTGATGCAGACTCTGAAGCTGCATTAGCTCTTCCTGAATGCTGCTACTGTGTTGTGTGCTCTTTTTGTGGAATATTAACAAAGAAAAGTTAGGTTGTAATTGTCATATTCATGTTTTGTGGTACTCACACAAAATAGCATCACCGTTGGGGAAGGGTGGAGTTGTGGATCACTAACAATAACAAGAACAGCATTCATCTTTCAAGAATGAAAGAGATTTTTAGGCTCTGTTTTTTAGCTGTTTGGTAAGGGATGAAAACAGTAGTCAACAGAAAATAAACTCTAGTCAAGAGGAAAACGAAGTGCGGAACTCGGATTTTGTCTCCACTTTATTTTCCGGAAGACAATTTCCGGAATTGGCTAAGCTCTCCACTCTCTGTCTCACGAAGATCGCTCTACTTTTTGCTATTTCTTTCGCGATCTAGCTCAACACGTCCCTCTTTCCTTAGCATCATCATCTTTCTCACCCTATCCCTTCGCTTGCATCGTAAACCAGTAAACCTAGGTCCTAGGGCTTGCACTGCCGGGTCTCCAGCCTTCCATGTCTTCGTCTTCATCGCCTAGGGTTTTTTGACTGGTTATTATCCAAAAAGTGATTTCGTTAATTTTGGCTCCTTTTTTAAAAAATTAGGAATCTGTTAATTGCTTGACTTTTGGATTATCTTTCGACCATTTATCATGCATAGGAATGAATCATAACTCTGCAAATTTTTTTCCCATCTGTTTATCTTTGCCTCCAAAGATTTGTTTTTTTCCTTTCTTTTTTTTTGCAAATTGTTTCAACATAAAAAGATTTTTATGAATATTCAAAATTTTGTATTACGGAGTTATTTTCCACAAAGTGAACTAAACGGGAACAATTTTCAAACTTCCAACCAAACACCAGGAAAGGAAAATGACTTTGGGAAAACGATTCATTTTCTAGAAGTCATTTTCCATATATTATTTTTATTGTTTCCTAACAGGACCTTTAATCTCCTTTTAACCCAAATATGTCATTAACTGGTGTCCTACCTATAAGAAAAATGTCAGACTTTCAAGAAATTCTATATTAGAAATAACTAAAAACTAAAATTCCACAGCATATATAATCTTTTGTATATATATAAATATATACTCTCTCCGTCCCAATTTAGTGTTCATTGTTTGACTTTGCAGTTCGCACGAAGTTTAAGAAAAGTGAAATTGTATGGTTGAAAGTGATGCAAAGGAAAGAGAAAAAAGATGAGCCACAAAAATCTTTCCAAAAAAGAAATAAGGAAGGTTAATTTGAGACGGAAGGAGAGAGTGTGTGTGCATATATATATATATACACACACACACATACATATATACTCCCTCCGTCCATTTTTAATGTTCAGAGTTTGACTGGACACGGAGATTAAGAAAAAGTGTAAATGTCAAAATACCCTCCACCCCTTCTCTTTTGTACATCAGCTCTGGACGTGTTTCTCTCTCTAAGCGCTGGGCAGCCCCTCGCGGCACTGTTCATCCCTTCTTAAGACTTCCGATTCCAGTCCTTTCATTGCTGTTTTTGACACAATTTTTTGAGCTCTTGAATCGTTTGGAGCCATGGAATCCATTTCCAGGCTTGGTTTGTTGATTACGCAGCTGGAAATTGAGGAAATCGCAGGTCAACCATGGCGTGTTACTGTTCATCGACGAACACAAAGATTCCGATTGGCCTGCTTTCCAGCTCGTTTGATGGCTAATTTTGGGGGGTTTAGGAGCGGCTTGGGATGCTTAATCATGGCCTGAAGTTGGAATTCCATTCCAATTGAAATCCTTTACGATTTGAGCATTTCTTGGATTCTTGGAGGAGAAGAAAGAGAAATTGGTGGGGAAGGTTCTGGAGAGAAGAAAAAAAGGAGAAGAAAAAGAAAGGAATGAAGAAAAGATGGAAAAGAAAGAGAAATTGGGATTTGGGGGAGCTGTGAAATGGAAAGAAAGGAGAAGAGAAGATAATAAAGTGGAGGGCATTTGTGTCACTTCAGTAAAGAAAAATTACCAAATAAGGAAACATGAATTTTATTTATGGACGGACGAAAAAGGAAAGTACGAACATTAAAAATGGACGGAGGGAGTCATTTCTACTCCAAATATTTGCTTGGAAATATGATATACCTTGTTCAGTATAGCCTCTTTAAGTTTGCTGTAAAAATATGTATTGAAGAAATGATAGTTGCATCCTCCAATATTTGACATAGACTTGGTCAGCTGCAGATATCTAGTAAAAAAAATACCATTGTGATTAGAACTGATAAAATATTATACCGAATTTAATGTAGTCCTACACAAATAAAGTTATTAGAGAAAAAACTCAATTTTCTTTACAATAACTTAAATGACAGTTTTTTAAAAGTAGATAACAGTTGTTATTTAATACAAGTACAAGAAAAAAGCTTAATGTCAACTTGAATTAAAGAATATGATCTATTCCTCGTGTCTCTTGGAAACAGTCTCTCTGCTTTCAAGTAGGGGCAAGGTATGCATACACTCACCCTCCCCAAACCCTACTTTTGTGGGATTATACTGGGTTGTTGTTGATGATTATCTGTTCCTTAAGATCACAACCAAGTTATTTTGTAAAGACATACTTTTGCAATGCGTATATTGAATTAAAAAAATATCCCAGTGAAGTACTATTCTTAGATTAAGGACTAACCCTGTTAGCTGACAAATTAGCAGCTAGTGGTGGCTACTAGTAGTTAAGGTTAACGATGAGGTGACTTCGTGATTCTTCTTGAACCTTGAACTCTACAAACAGCTGCCTGATGAATACTCTCTCCATCCAGCAAAAAGGTTCCACAATGATCGGCATGGTTATTAAAAAATATGAAATTGTGTGGTTGAAAGTGGTGCCAAGGAGAAAAAATAATATGACCCACGGAAAATTTTCCTTTAATGGAAAGAGGAACCTTTTTGGGGTGGACGAAAAAAGAAATATGGAACTTTTTTATGTGACAAAAGAAGTAATAATTAATCGGGTGCACCACCAGATCCCATAAAATTTTAGGCTATCAATTAGAGTAATAATCTCTCACTTCTTTCATCCTGAACCTGCAACTTCTACATTATATGCTAGAAACTATTTCTGCTCCAATTCCACGAAGGCACTACCTCTAGTGGCCTAGCTTACTTCAAAACATATTAATCTTAGTGCCTTGGATTGAGCATTGCCAGTCTCAGCACGATGTTAGCAAAGACTCACCAGGCCAGATATAACATCTCACTCGTTACTTTCTCCCATCTAACTGCCAATCGATCCTGAGAACCTCTATTGGTGGCTCTGACCAATCATCATGCTATATAACAACAATAACAAACCCAGTATGATCCCAACTCCTTTGGGGTTTGGGGGTTAAGATGTACGCAACCTTACCCCTGTAAATATAGAGAGGTTGTTTCCGTGAGACCCTAGATGATTGCTAAATTGTCAAATCGATAGTCAAAAAATTTATACTCCATAGATCGGATTGTAAGAAACAAGGGAAGTTTAATGTGCCATTTTGAATTAGTCTATTATTTACCCAAAGCTCTAGACATTGTCAAAATGGCTCTTTTAGCTCAATTGGCAATGGACGCAATCATCATGCTGTATTGGAAACCAATACTTCAAAAATAAAACCTTCATCAGCAAATAATGTCTTTGAATTTTGCAAATATTCTGTAACAAAAAGTTTCTTATTTTCCCCACTTGCCATTTTCCCTTCTATTTAGGGGGGTGAAGAAAAATCAGGAAAAAAGAACACTTTTCGCTCAAATTAACTGAATGAAAAATACATCAACTTATGAGCCAATGCACTGAACTATCTCAACTAATCATTAATCTTTACCGGATATAAAAGTTCATTATAGTTGACGACAAATATTCTTCAGGAGCAAGGCAATTCATGTCGGAGTAGCAAAGCTCAATTGGATCTGGATCATCTCTATTCCACCAAGGAAAACAGATTATGACATGTATGTATTCAAGAAGAAATGATGAAAAACATACGCAACACATAACATTCAAACATATACGGCATATATTTTTCACAAAAAGAGAGTATGTCATACCGAGAAGGATAATATAGCTTCATATCTTTTGTGCTGAAATGACAAAGGGAGATAATTATTGCCTGGCAAACCACACATTGGGAGACTAAATTGTTAAAAGCAATTTAGATTTAAAAAAGCCAGCAATTAAAAATTAAAGCATCACCCTTCATCCACAAAGTCTAATAGGTCCATCTGTTTGACCTCGTGTTCCTCCTCGTCTAGAAGAACAACAGTCTCCCCCTACAAGGAGTAATGCAATAGAATCTAAATATAATACTTGGGAAATACTTAAAATTAACAAAATAGTATGGAGTTAAAAAATATAGGAGAAAAACCAGTATCTCATAAAACCAAGCTCATTGATCTGGCTAAGAGGCATGTACAAATTTGAAAGCAATATCCCAAAGGACATGCATGATAAGAGACACAAAACAGAGAGCTAAAGCATAGTAAATCATACATTTTTACACCTTGGGCCATCTGAACAATAGATATTTGAAGAATTATTCCTGGGAGAGAAATGAACAAATCAATCTTAAAGCATGCACCGAAGAGTCAAGAGTGAGAAATGGACAAGTTGAAAAGAGGAGGCTGCTTTAACAAAAGGTACTACACAGAAGAACTAATACACATTATATAAAAGAATAAGCAGAAGAAACATGGGTCACAAAAGATTAATATACTTCTTTGAAACACCGCCATAAAAGTCTTTTTCCGAATGCGATGTAGCAGCAGAAATACTTCTTTTTAATCTAGCATTTGATAGCTGCGGACTAGGTGTGTTTCGAGAAGAAAATCCTCTATCTTGTCTTCTCCTTGCCCTCTTCTCCTTGCATGTCCCTCTATTCGCACAAGGATTCATAGTATATAATTCATTTTCAAAGGCGTTCTGGCTTCCCTAATTATAAATGCACAAAAGTGAAGAGGGAAAACTTAAGTTGTAAAAGAATCCACAACCAGGTTAGAGAGAGAATAATGCTATAATAGTCAGGAATAAGAACTCACTGTTTCAATTCTGTTCACAAAATGAGAAGCAAATGGAGATTGAGAAGGTGGTGCAGAAGATGATGGAGCTGATTGTTTAAAGCCATGAGCTACACCTGCACAATTACATGTTGCTTTTATCCTTGCCTGTTCAAAATGAGTAACCATGTGACCCAGGGACAAACATCCCGAACAAACCAAGAACATCTAAATACCTTTAGTTCAATTGAACAAAATATTTGCCCTGAGACTGTGATACAGGGTTTTCCCAAGAATTAGAAAATCAAAAGCCATTGCAGTTTCAAGTAAATGTCTATTTTTTGTCAATCACTCCTTTATGTGGTGTATCCACACATGAAGACTGATGTAGCATACCATGTTAATTTCGAATGACATAAAAGGATCGGAAAGTACTCCAGGGCATCATCAATTCGCAATATATGAATAGGTGATTAAATGATTTAAATCTCAACACATAAAGCACAAATGTGAGAGAACAGTTTGGAACAACTTTTCATTTTATATAATCATTTTGTTCTAGAAAAATCTCAGCACATAAAGCACAAATGTGAGAGAATGATACGGAAGAACTATTCTTATATATAATCATTTTAGACGAGAATAATCTAATGTTCTCAACAGAAATGACGAAGTAATTCTTGTTCTTGAACACAAATTTAGATTCAAGCTAACACATGACCAAATACATCACAACAGACTAACTCAAATGGAGCACTTATTTGTTCGTTGTCACTTGTATCTACAACTCAGAGTCCCAAACTCACACAAATGGTGTTTAGCAAGATGACAGGACTCAAAATTTCATGGAGACATATTTTGAAATTAAGGGGAGATTTTCTACAGTAACTGAAGAGATGGATGTCCTAAGCAACAATCAGCTACAACCAACGTTGTATCTCGCCATTCAGTGTCAAGAATGTAGAGGCCTTCACACTCATGTTTGTTAGAAAAAAAAATTTCTTCAGTCACAAATTCTTGAAACAAAAAATTATTAGAAAAAGTACACGTTACAGAAATTGAGGGTACAAGACAGCCAAAAATAAGTAGACTAACTGAAATTAAATTTAAAAAATGATTTAAGTAAACTGTTGAAATAATAATATTTGAGTAATGAGTAATTGAACACTCATCCATACACATACACACCACCTTCCTATGTAGCTTCCTAACACCTTGCTCTCTATAAGCCTATATAATGGTGAGTGCCTATCATATCTTGTATCAATTCATATGTCAGAATTCATAATGGCCTCTTTGATGACCAGAAGTGTTTGGAGAAAAGTCAGAAAACAGAAATGGAATCAAGTTAAGTATTGTTAAGTGAGCAGTTATGGAATCAAATGCAGGTGACAATGTTTTTTGATGTAGACATACTCTCTCTGTCCCAAAAGACCCAAATTAAGAAAGGTGAAATTGAGTGGAGTGTTTTACAGATGAGAGAGAAATAATGTAAACCATATAATCATTTCTTTTAAAGGAAAGTGGAACCTTATTTTGGGACATAAAGAAAGAGAGCTCTGAAACCTTTTTATGGGACAAAGGCCAAAGGGAGTATTATTAAGAAAAAATTATAAGAACAAATTGCAAAAAAATTGTGTGTAAACACGCAGCTGCAAACAATAATTAAATGCGGGTCAATGGCAGAATATCACTTAAAAATATTGACAATTCTATTGCAGCAACGAGGGTTTCAATTGTTTCGGGGAAAACTAATTTCTCTGTCTAGTACCGTTGACAATGCCTATTGTTCCGATGACTAACGACGATTCTCGATGTTCTAACAAGCAGTGGGGGTTGTTGAGGAGAAGGTTCCAACCAGATTTGGATCCTTTAACAGTGAATAGGTGTAGAAGGGTAATTTAGGAAAGTCAATGCAATTTTTAACATGCATTAAAAGTGTCTCGTGTCAACTTGGGAAGAAAAATTTGGCCTGAGGAAGTAGGGCCGAAGTACTACCTTCATCCCATTAAGGGCCTGTTTGGTTGATGGAAAAGGGAGGGAAGGGGGGGGATGGAAGGGAATGGGAAGGGATGGGGAAGGAGCCCCTCCCCTTGTTTGGTTAAAAGAAGGGAGACAAAGGATGTTATGAACAGTATTCATCTCCTAAACCGTTAGAATCTCGAATCAGATCGAAGGTAGGTTGTAAGAGATCCAATCGGGTCAACATGTCTCTTTCTCTTCATTGTTTCATGTGCACACTATTCCTAGCTACACGGTGTTTCTTTAGCTTATGGATGGATACTGGATCTGTGTTAGATTGGAGTTGTTATTATAGATGAATACGAAGTAGAGGAGACAGGGAAAAAAAGAAGAGGAAGAAGAATACCAGAGGAGTAGGAGGAAGACAAGAGGAGAGAGAGAGAGAGAGAAGAGGAAGAAGAAGAATAGTGGAGGAAGACGGTGAGATAAACTCTCTCTCTCTCTCTCCTTCCATCTTCAAGATAGATATTAGATATAGACTATTAAATTTTCTAATCAAACAATAATATCCAACATGGGATCCAACTGGGTTGTTGTTGTTGTGCAATAATATCCAATGTAATAATTCTATTTCATTAACTGTCTATATTCCTCTATATATGAAATTATATATTTCTATGAGATAATAATTCTTCTTCAGTTTTCTATTCGAGACCCCCCCCTTTTGAGCCATACAAAGGTACAGAAAAAATGATAATAATACAGCAGAACTGTTTTCCGAAATGACATGAGATTTTACCTGCATAGTTGTGGTCATGCCTTGCCCCTTCCCATTCATCAATGTGCTATCCAAGAAACAAAATAGTGGTTAGAGATGAGCATAAAAGGTGATCCAAAATAATGCTATTATTACCTTCGCGTTATAACTCACACAATGAGCATCTACCACAACAGGAAGTTCTCAGTTCTCACTACGACAAAATGTTTATAAAATTTGATTGTAGGTGTTCTTGCCAACATAAGAACTATAGGACTTTAACAATCATGGTATAAGTAGTTACACTACTCCGTATTAGAGTTATCCAAAAAAATCACCAGTTATTAAAATACTTTTATCCAAGGCACCTCTATCTCTCAATAACTATGGTTGAAAAACTGTGTCTAGAAATAAAAACACGATCATAAACAAAGTGTGTCATTCTTGGTATGTTTTGGACACAATGGAGTAAACAAAACGTACTCTTTGGGAGGATGGGGAAACTCATTTGCATCCCGGTACAAGGAACCCTACCCCTCACAGTATTGCAATAGTACCAGTTCACTATCTCTAATACAATAAGTAGCTAATAAATCCATACCCAGTAACTCTCATTACAATTAGAAACGAAACTTGCCCGCAATCTCATAGGCAAAACACAAATTCTTCCATAGCTAGATGGCCTAACTAGAAATTCTTCCATAGCTAGATGACTAATCCATGTAACATAAATAAGAGGAAAAATAAAACAATACTTTTAGTTCCTAAGCTTGTACTCCCTCTGTCCTTAAAAAAATATTCATTCTTTCTTTTTTCATTCGTTCCAAAAATAATTATAACTATATTTTATTAAAATCTCCACTAGTCCACTCTTTCTTTTATTGTTCACCATAGTTTGTAAGGCGTCGCCTAGGCAATAAGGCGTTGTCACTGGGACGCCTTGTCTGCTCGCCTCGCCTAGAAAACCTTAAAGCGACCAGGCGCTCGCCTAGGCGTCGCCTTACCTCGCCTTGATACCTTGGGCCCCTTTAAAATTTTGAAAAAAAACACATTTTTAAGTGCAGCCCATTTTCTTTTAGTGTAGCCTAATAGACTTAAACTTGTCCTCCCTCCCTCCCTCCCTC